ATTTTCATTAATTTAATGACATAACTGAGTTACTGTAAATTTGTTTAGGTAACCTTGATTTACATCCAAACCTTCTAAATTATTGAAATGAATAATCGTTTATTCTGTTCGTGTTTTTACATGTCTTCGTAAATCGAATGAACAATAAAAATTCGAACTTTAAAACCTGAGATTACTGTAAAAGTTTAAAATTGATTAGTCAAGTGGATATATTATTGAAGGGAACATCCATACAAGGCAAGTGGATAGCTAAATGACAAAGAGAACAAATCATTTACTTGCCAAACTTGTTTAAATTTAAATAAAAATTAATTTCGTAAATAATTAATATAAAAAATCTAATTTTAAGACCCAAACTTTAGGTAGATTCAATTTCGTCGGACTCATATTTTTATTTTTATATTATTGATATCTCATAAAGATTAAATATAGTTTATATAATGGGGGGAAAGAGAGATTCTAAATGCAAAGTGCAAAATTCATGCATATGATACCATAAGCTGCTTCCAAAAAGAGAAGTGGACTGGTAAAATTAAAGAGATTTTCAAAAATGTTATATTGGCTCAACTTTAATATACACACGACAAAATTTGATCTTTTTTCTAAATGAAAAGAGTTTGTTCTAACTACAGCAGTACAACACTAAAGCAGAGTTATACTTCAAAATCATTTCTGTAGTTTCAATCATTTTATGATCTTAAAAATGACATCAAAACGAACAATCCTTTGCTTAGTACCCATGGTTTGAACCATACCCTGAGCTGTAGCCTCCAGCATGGTCAGCATGTCCTTGATTGGATTGTAGTGATGCATATACAGAACCATGAGTGGCGTACGGATTATAAGCTTGGTCTGCAATCCCACCACCTTGTCCCTGACCGGTCCTTGCAGCTGCAGCTTCAGCTATAAAAGTCTGCAACATAATATAAGTTCAAACTAAGATGCTTCAGAATGATCGTGAATGATAACATTAGTTCCTTGTGCTACTACCAGAGGGCAAAATCACCGGGCATGTAGAAAACGGCCTTGAAAGGAAATCAGAAAACTAAGCAATGGCAAGCACATGGAAACTGTTTTCAACCTAGCAAATAGAGAAAGAAAGATGAAAAAGGTTCAGAGGCCAGGGAAAGGGCATGCCTGTATCAGTTGCTGAGCAGTTTGAACTTGTGAAGCAGCTCCACTTATTTCAAATGTCATTTCCCCAGGAGCATCCGTTGTCTCTTGAATGCTGACAAATGCCCCACTAACAAGTCGAATAAAGCTAATAATTTCACCAGCTGTCCCGATAACAGCAGAAGCGTAAGAGAGGAATCTGCATTTGCCGAGTGAACTGCAAAGAAAATTTTTTGTTAATAGATTAAAATCTGGTTGTTCGAGCCAAGATCAGTCATCGACTTAACACTTTGCATGGCATGAAAGAACTTGCTGTCAGGGGTCTACACCAAGTACGACAATATTTGAAATAGCAACCAAAAATTGACCAGCAGCCAGAAACAAAACCAAAGAAAGGTAGATAGACGGATGAGGATGCATATATGAGTCCAGCTTACTCTACATGGAACTCTTAACACTAAATTTCAGCAAACCATCCCCATTACTTGAAAATAAAATTCAAGAACAAAAAATAACAATAGCTGCCAGCATCTTAATCTAAAGTGAAAAAGAACATATTAAGGGAGGAAAATGAGAAAAAGAGACCAAGTATGTAATGGTGGTACCTTTGTGATCATCGATGCTGCATTGAGATTTGATGATCCATGAGCACCCATCGGGGCTTCTCTTCCATGGGCAGAAAGACCCTGATGCGGCTGTTTATCCGTAAGAGGCATATCAGGATGGTAGTAATTATCAAGTTGCCATGGAGGAAGCATGTACTGAGGATTGTGGCCAAAACCAGCACCTCCACTAGCATTTTGGGGGACACCTTGAGGTGGACCCCAGGTTTGATGAGGTGGCATGTGGTCCATCCGAGAATTAGACTTTTGCATCTGATAGAAACATGTAAAAGATTTTCAACCATTAGTCTATACACTGACGGAGGACCAATCAATCAGTAGGTCAACAAAAAATAGAAGCCACACATTCATTTCAAACAAGGGATTATACTGCTGTCCACTAAAAAATTCCTGAGGTGAGATGCAATTAGCTCCAATCCTTTGTGCACGCCAACTGCTTCTCCCACAACTTGAACAACCCTATCATCTTGAAGAGCAAAGACTGGAAGGTCTTCAGCAGCATTTCATTTTATTTAACAAAGAAAGAGAGAAACAAAATGTTAATAAATTATGATATACAAAACCAATCGAAAGCACAAGAAATTACAAAAGAAACCACTTGAATAAAATGATCGTATGAGATTATCATACAAGGGATTTCAATCCTTAAAAAACAACTTCAAATTATCAGCATTTGAACCGAAAACCATATTCTTGAATTCTAGTACCATTGTTAACGAACAATTTCTTGCAACACATTGCAGCAGAGCTATATTAAGAACTAATTTGATAAACAATTGAAAATAGTTTATGAAGATATGTCATTAAGCTTTACTCTTTCAGCAACCCCAACAAACAACTTGAAAGAAATGGCAAAAAGAAAGTGAAAACAAAATCCAGAGAAGAAAACCTTCTTCAAGAACTCTGATTCTACAATTAGCCGCTCCTTGAATGAGCTTGACAGTTGTTCCTTGTTTCCCGATCAAACTTGAAGCTTGTGAGGCAGGAACTAGAAGCCTCGTTGAAATCTTGGTTCCCACAGCCGAAGTCCCATAAGTTGAATCAGCCTCCAAGCCATCAATAAGACGTTTATGGACCCTTAAAAGTCCATCCATGGCAGGCGGAAGAGAAGAATCAGGCTCCTCCTTTGCAGATACCATTACCTATTCAAAAGACAAAGCAGCAGCAGCAGCACAAAGGCTAAGTTGTTATAACTCATAGTCCATCTGACCAGATAAAATTGGTAAGAAAATAAGAAACTAATATAAAATCAAATTTCCCTATATGCCACAAGCAAATGAGGGAAGATGGGTATAAATGTGGAGCATAATGCATTGAAGAGGTGAAAATGCCACATTGAATTAGATTTGATATAATCTACAGTTTACAATTAAACTCCTTTTGCATAAAAGAAAGCTTATGATGTTTAACAATAATATAGAACTCTAACTGTTTTATTTATCTTGATCTTAGTTGAATAGCCTTTTGCCGTATATGTCCAAGTATTTGAGAAAATTATTATCCTTGTCAAGGGAATAGACTTATTAACCAAGTTGTTTTCACCTGTTAAGTATTTGCAAGTTATTTGGATCACAAACTTTGAGTTCAATGGGGAAATATATCATACATACATATACTATGTTATTGAAACGGGCTTTTACATGAATTTGGGTAAAACTTAGACCATGAGTATTGTATATATATTTGTATTATGCTACAAATAAGAGTTTAATTTTAGTTTGGTGTCGAGGGATCTTTGAACTATTTCCATAGGCTCCTTTAAGATTTTCATTTAACAGCTGACACCAGTCATCCAGGTTCTGAAGTTACCAGCGAGCTTCTTGGTACAGTTGTTCATACAAGATATGTCTGTTAGTTCAGAACAAACTCTCAGCACTTTGAAATGCTCGATGATGATCCCAGCAATCAGAATATGGTTCCTCATAAGTGGAGTCTTATTGATGATTGACTCCTTTCCTTAAAATTTGCAAATGAAACCAGCAGAGACTCATTTTTGTTATTGCAATAAACGGAACTGTATTTGTATTTCACGGGTAGCTTCTTACGGCCTTTTTTTTACAATCTTCTTGACGTGGTAAAATATTTAAAAAGATATTATGACTTGGGGAGGTAATTATCTGCAAAAGTATTACAACTTTAAGAGGTGATGAACAATTATTATGTAACAATGAATTATATTTATTCAAATTACTCTAGTGTCAAGCACTTTAAACCTTGCATCCATTAATTTATCACTTCCATCCTTCTTCCTAATCTTTAATGTTTTATTCTATAACTTCTTTATAGAATTGTTAGATTAGAAAAGAATATTTTGAAGCTTGATTTTTTACTTTTCGGTGTATATTTTTTTATTTCACTTTATTTATTATGTTCATTTTTTCATGTTTTGAACCAATATATCATTTATGTAAGCATTCCCTAAAACTAGGAGAGATCTAGCATTCCCTAAAAATATCTGGTTGATTTTTTACTTGTCGGTGTACATTTTTTTAATTTTCACTTTTTTTTAGTCAAAATCATCCCCATGTCATTGAATAACTGAATGGCTTCATCAAGCACAAAAAAAAAAGGAAAATGAATGCACATGGAATGTCAACGAGATAAAAACAGAAAAATTTGCGATGACCATATCCTGCAATGACTGTCAGCTTAAGTTAGCAATTAAGGAAAGCCACTGTGTTGTATTAATCAAAGTACTCATACGACTTGTATCACAATAGTTCAACTAGACACAAACAGTGAGCCTCGACAAGTAGGACTAGTTCTGCCGTAGTAGTCTATCATCATAATCAAAGATTAAATACAATATAAGCTGAGAAGAGAATATATCAACTTACAGCTTTCTCAATTGTCCCTGGAGGACCACCAATTATCTTGATGCGAGCTCTTGTCTCTTCCGTTATGTTTTTTATGAGTTCCCCTTTATGTCCAATTATACAGCCAACCTTTTGTGCGGGAACCAACATCCGGAACACACTCTCTCCAGGCCATCCAGGCCACTTCTTTTCATCATCACCAACCACTGCCTCATCTTCATGTTCTTTTGGTTGTTGTTCTGATTCTTGCTGCAACTTTTTCTCCTCTAAGTTCTCTTCTGGATTTTCTTTCAAGTTTAAGTTCTGATGTTCTGATTCTTGCTGCATCTTCTGCTCCTCTAAGTTCTCTTCTGGATTTTCTGACAAGTTTAAGTTCTGATGTTCTGATTCTTGCTGCAACTTCTGCTCCTCTAAGTTATCTTCTAGATTTTCTGTCAAGTTTAAGTTCTGATGATCTGATTCTTGCTGCACCTTCTGCTCCTCTAAGTTCTCTTCTGGATTTTCTTTCAAGTTTAAGTTCTGATGTTCTGATTCTTGCTGCAACTTCAGCTCCTCTAACTTCTCTTCTGGATTTTCTTTCAAGTTTAAGTTCTGATGTTCTGATTCTTGCTGCAACTTCTGCTCCTCTAAGTTCTCTTCTGGATTTTCTGTCAAGTTTAAGTTCTGCTGCTCTGATTCTTGCTGCAACTTCTGCTCCTCTAAGTTCTCTTCTGGATTTTCTTTCAAGCCAAAATACTGCTCCAAGTTCGCAATGTACTCCAAGTTTTCTGATTCTTGCTGCAACATCTGCTCCTCTAAGTTCTCTTCTGGATTTTCTTTCAAGTCTAAGAACTGCTCCAACATCGCAAGGTACTCCAAATTCGCTATGTGCTCCGAGTTTTCATTGTGCTCAATGCTCGCATTCTGTTCCAAGTTCAAATCATGCCCCAGGTTCATATTCTGCCCCAAATTTTCATGTTCTTGAGCCTGTCCCACTTCATTTTCAACAAAGCTTTGATCAACTTCATCCATAATCGTGTTGCTGCAACCATAAAAAGGGGGGGAAATATGAACATATGAATAATATTACAAAGCAAAACATCGGCTCCAATCTTACCGTTTCTTTCGAATAAAGATTGAAAATAACACATTGACAATAAAACTGTGCCAAACTCTCATCTTTAAAACTCAAACATACAAGTACTAAAATCCAACAATATTAGCTCTACCAAAAAAAACATTAAGTTAACCCAAAACCTCAAATCAGACAGACAAACAAAACAAAGATAACCCACTATTAGTAAGCTCTTAAAACCTCAAATCAGACAGATAAACTAAAATATACAACACAAAACCTTAAAACCAAAGAAATGGATTGGATCAGGAGACTTGCATGAGATGAAGAGAGAAGATAAAAGAGGAGGAAGAAGATAGGATTTGAGGGTTTCTTGAAAATTATAGGAGACATAGAGTAAACTAAATATGGTTAAGCTTTGAGGCTTCTTGCAAGAGAGAAACGAAACCAGTGATATTTGTGAAAATTATCTTCATTGAGGAATTTTGCGCGGGATTTTGAAGGGGCCTTGGAGAAAGCTCATTTTGCATTTTTGATCCCTATGTAAAGATTCAATGACGAAAATAACCCTGTAATTTTTATTTTCTTTTGGAAAATATATTTTTGTCAAATTCTTCATTAATCCATGTATTTGTATAAATTATGAATTTAGTCCATATACCCTAAATTCATCAGCACTTAAATTCATTACGCAAGTTGTAGATTTAGTTTTTATTCATTTTATTAAGTCAAAATCTACTCTTAAAAGTACATGAATTAAGTTTGTCCAAATCAGAGAACAATGACTAATGCTACAATTTAACCTATATATCTCTTCTTTCTTTTAAGTATAACATTGTTATGTGAAGAAAATGCATGAAATTCATGTCAATCAAAGGCTGCAATTTAAATTGGATAAGAATGTACGGAATTAGGATCAAATATTGAGACGGATTAAATTATCTAACTTCAAAAAACAAGGGACGTATGATTTATTTAAGTTCAAAACCTAGGGGGCAAAACCCAAGTTGATATATGCTCCACACGGCTGTGGAACAAACATATAGGATACCTAACTTCTGCAATGGTAACAACAGAGTAGGCCAGCTGCATCATTTTCAGAGCAAATTCAACATGAGCAATGGACGGCGACTCGTATTTCTTTCCGAATAGCTTGTAGATTTAACTACGGAAATGAAACACGATATGAACAATGGGTTCGATATGATTGATACAAGCAAAGTACAGTATTTAAGAAGTTCAGAAAGTGTAGAACCGATAGATAGCATGATCATCATGCAAGCATACCAAAAGAAGTCGAAATCCAATGCTTAGAGAGGCTGCAGACGACGGCGACCGGGAAATTCTGAAGAATGTATTGAATCGGTACCATATCGAAACCTCAGTAAGGTTTAGAGAGCCAAGAAATACGTTTTAGAATCTTACACTGCTATATAGCTGATTTCTGTATCAGGAAACAAAAGAGGACAGATAAAATTTGACTGCAGAAACATAAAATGTGTCTCCATTTCATGTATGATTTCCACATCTATTTCCATACCATGTAATCATGGATGCCAGCTTCAACTTACCAAATGCATTGTTAAAACCGTATAACAAAGTCGTCGGTAAAACTGGTCAAATCATGTCAAACGATCCAATTCAAGTAAGCATGTAGTGTACATCGATTCTTCAAATAGACTCGGTGCAGGTGAAGTAACGAGATGATTAAGTTCTTTGAATTTTCACATACAGGAAAGGTCTGTCCTTTGGAATTCAGTTTCTCAAATGTGATCCGGTCTTGATCGAAGAATGTTGGGTCAAACCCAATATATCCGTCTGAATATGCGTTTGACACACATAAGACCGACACTTCACAAATGAATGAAAAATCCGGGTGAAACGACTATTCAATCATCGATTTTCGCATTGTCACATCGAGAAATACAAGTTCGAAAAAGAAACAATGTCATAACATAGATGATCCCTCCACACAGAGAACAGAGATAAGCATACAACAGGAAACTGCTCATTTTTATATCATTCTATAAAAGCTGTCTCTCTCTACTCTCTTAAGCATTTAACTAATCCACAAGTTTGAACATTGAATTAAAACAATGAACGTAAACATTTTGCTTCACAAATTGTCACTCCTTGCTTTTGGTATTGGTCTCCGGTGCCGCATTGGAAGTATTCATCAGCAAGTCAAACTTGTCGGACTTCCCCAACACAATTCCGATCTAAAACAGCAAGCAAGTAGAGATCAGAATGAATTCAGCAGCCAAATCCAGAAGCAATATATATGGATTGTAAAAATGTAAACCCACCTTGGCTTTTAGGACGACACGCCCTTTTTCTCGTCTTTCATGTTGACCATGGATGTCGAAACTTCTGCTTTGTTCCATAAACAATCAGTATCGAATTATTCATAATCGTCGAGGATGGAAAGCATTTTTTGATTAAGAGATTGAGATTCTTACTCTTCTCAATAGCTAGTCCATTATTCTTTAAGATCTCGGCAATAGTAACAACAGTAGTGATTGCTGCATTACAAATTTGAGGGGGGAAATCAGGAAGCATCATGAAAATGAACCGTTTTCTAAGCCGAAAAGCATAAATAGGTGGACACTTGACATTGAGATAACAGGGTTCATAGTTTAAAGTTCACAATTCACAGCAACAAAACTGAGAAATGTACCCATGCCCAAGGCAGAAAGCTCAACCTCATTATGCTGCTGAATGTATCTCTGCATCAAAGGAAAACAAAGCTGAAACATGTAGCATGGCTTGAATGTGATCATCCATATACATTAAGATGGACAAACTTAGTCTAAAGGAAAGATTGAACCGGGATAAAACGAATTGCAATGAAATAATATGATTTCTTTTTCATCTAGAAATGGTCAAAAGCATCATTTTGCATGGAACAAATGAAATTAAAAACAAAAAACCCAGATCAAAAAGCCTTTTACATGAAACAAATGAATTAAAAACAAAAACCCAGATCAAAAAAACCTTACTTTGGCAAGATTAACATAGAAAAAAAGAGGTTTTTTAGTGTTGGACACTTGAATTCTGTTCTTCTGTGCCTCTACTCCTCCTCCTGTAGCAACAACTGCCTCTGCACCCATTATCTTTATTAGATGAATGCTCCAATAATTCTTTGATTTTGATTTTGATTTTGATTTCTTATCTGTGAATCTCTTCGCCCTTTTCCTTTTGATTTAGTTTCTTTCGTTAATTTTCTTGATTTCTTTCTGTTGTTTTGTGTAGCGGGAAACTTGTGGGGAAGAAAATACCGTTACGAAATGGTGGTTATATAGGGGAACAAATGGACCAATGAGAACTGAACTCGTGGTGAAAACTTATTGTTTGTAGACGGAGTAAGAGACAGACGGGTTTTCTTTAATGGATAAGACGACATTAAACCCCAAAGAATCATTTCTATTATATGGGATTGAAGCCCATAAATGTAAAGTTCTCTTTATGGGTCATTTACATGTAATAAGAATTGATCTTTAATTTGTGTTTGGTAAGAGGGAAAGACGAAAGAAAATTAAAATTCTTTTTTTTCATCAATCCAGTTCTTAAACAAATTATTTACAAAAAAATTTGAGTTGTTCGTAAACAAATGTGGAAGATTAAATTTGATCAAACTTTATCGATTTAAAATCATGTCGATATAGAATTCATTGGTAATTTCAGTGGTTAAATGAGTGTTGTTTTCCTTTAATGTCTTGAGTTTAGTAGCATGGTGTGTATTGTCAATGATTAAAATTAATCCCGAAATACAACATTATATTCGCCCCAAACTTTTCAAAAATTATATCCACATAAGGTGTAACAATAAAAATTGTATATTTATGTCAATCAAGGTTATATATAATTAACAACAAACATTAAAATTGTCATTAATTATCTTAATTCTCTACTGTTAAATTTGATAAATCGATTAATTCGGATTGGATATTACGAGCGATGATAACCTTTCTAACCCAATTTTCTCAATCCGTAAGTATTAAAATTCGAACATCTAACCTTACTTAATAGATATAGTCTCATCTTGTTCACTAAACTAAGATTGATGATTTACTATCTTTTTAGAAGATCAGTTCGTACAATTTGAAAATTGAAAAAAATTCAATGGGTCTTTTCATCTTCTAATGACATAATCACTATTGCTTTTCAAAAGTATTTACTCTAATTTATATAATTTCTTATACACTTTTAAAAATAAATATTAAAATATATTTTAATTATTTAAAAAAATAAATAATATTAAATAATGATTTTAAAAATAATATCAAACTTATCCTAAAATATAAACATTAATACCTTTATCGTTTGGGGCGAATATTCCCTTTTTTCGAATGGAAATGAGCCTAAAAGATAAATTTAGGCAAAATTACAATGACAAATGTAGAAAGGACTCTCAACATCGCGAAATAAAAATATATAACAGTCGTGGGACAAATGTCAAAAAACCTAATAGCACCGTTGAAACCAACATCGATTTTCGTCAAGGAATCAACAACCATATTAGCTTCTCTACGGATAAGTTTAAAATTCACTTGTTAATCTCTGTTAACCAAATAAAAAATAACTCGAACCAGAGTGATCGAGCTATTCTCTCTATTGGAGAAGGAGGTCGTTATATCTCAAACGCTTTTTCTTTTTCTTTTTCTTTTAAAAAAAATTGGAGTGAATACAAGTTATTATTTGTTCAAAGACTTCCAACCTTTTGACAATGAAAGCTTATACATCTAACATATGAGGTGTTCAAACTCGAAACATCAAGAGATAACAATAAACCTCTCATCACTGAATTTACTTGGTTTGTACTTTAAATATATCTTGAAAATAAAGTAAAGGGATTTTTTTTCTTTTGGGAGAAAGATTGGATTCAATTATCCCCACAAAAGATCACGAAAGTGTGCAAGAAAATTGTGGGTGATATTGAAAAGTAGATGAAG